CAGAGCGGTGCTGTGCCCGCACCCCGCTGGGCGGTAGGAGAGCCCCCCGCGCTGCCCGCCCCGCTGCTGCGACTGGTACGGGCGCATCGCACCCGGTCGCGGCGTTTGGTAGTCACCCCCTATGCCTCATCAAGCAATTCAGCTAACGTAGTTTTACTTGAGTAAACCAGCTTATGCCAAAACCTTCAACCGTTTTCCTGCCGAGAACTGTGGAAGAAAAGAAAACACTGGGGGGAGGCGGGGGGGGAATTAAAATCTAACCCTCATTTAAGAATGACTGCCAGAAGAGTGTTTTGTTTGGGGTTTTTTTTTTTTGGTGAGACTAATTGCTAAATCGTTTTCCAGCGCTGGTGGTAAAGCCTGTTACTTCTCTGTCTACTCCTCTAGCCAAATTGTTAGAGGCTCTCAAAGCACATACCCAGTCAGCTTTAAATCGACACAGGTTTAAAGGATCACCTATGATTAAGAAAGTAAAGATATATTTGTAAATCATTGGCATTAAAAACATTTCCAAATAGTTGAACACTTTTTTATGTCTCCTGGTATCTTTTACGAGCTTTTAGTCATGTTTTCAAGTCTGGACAGAACATAAATACCCACTGTAAAACAAACAAGCTACATGCAACTCTTCAGGCAAGTGTACAGATCAGTCTTCTATAACCACAGAATGGAAAAAAAACAAAAACAAAAACAAAACAACCCCCCCCAAACCCTCCCACAAAGCTAAACCCTTGCTTCCTTTGCTGCTCACTAGTACAGCACACGTGGCAGCTGAAGTCACGGGCACCCCTCTCTGCTCTCCGTGCCTTGCTGCTGCCCTTCACAGCCACCACCTCTCTCAGAAGGAACCTACGTGCCTGTCAGCCGTCTATCACTCATCACCTCAGCAAAGCTAACTGAGCATTACGCCTGGAATTTAGTTCTCTAAATCCCATAATAAGCAGTCAAACGTCTCATGTGCAATCTAATTTATGTGGAAAAAGAGCGTCTAAGGATAAAACAGTCCTGAAACACTACAACAGCCTATATACACCAGTTCCCTAAAACCCTTTTTTTTTTTAATCCTGGGAAGGACTAAACCTTCTGAAACACTTCCACTCCTGATAAATTACCCTCCTCACTCCTTGTTTTGTTTTTTTTTAATTTATTTCCCAACTGACCCTGTGACCAACATACAATATGTACATTACACCTGCAAGTTTGCCACTGTCCACAGGTAATGCACCATTATTTTCTTTTTGTCTGTTGCTCTCCAGCTGAGACTAAGTACTGCCCCGGCATGACATACTTCTAACAACAACTTTACTCGTTGTTTTTCTAATGCCAGCAAAGGTTGGAGACAATTTGGAAAATACATGATGAGACCCTCCATCACAGTCATAATGCAAGACTTGTGGTAACGTACACATCTTTCCTTGCATGGGTAGGTCTATTTCAACAGAACTCACTTTGCGCTGTAGTGTTTGTGATAAAGGACCAGACTGATGGAAGTAAACACCGAAGTTTATAAAGCACAAATCGATAACAGTAAGAACAGTATTGTCTGCAACATTTTTGCCTATTTAAAGGACTACACATGTCACAAAGGTCCAAACAGCTGGTGACACAACAGCTGACTGTGTGCAAGATCTAAATTGCACATATGCTGTACCCAGCAGTCACCTGCAAAATCACACACTTCCACAGCGGGCCTCCTTCCAACTCTCTGTCTTGCTTTCTCTTCAGCACGTGGAGGGGACCAACCCCACCATTGTTTTTCTTGTTGTATCTCAGCGAAAACCTGGGAGAGGTTCAGAACCACAAACAGGAAAACAGACATAATACAATTTTTTAAAGTTAGGATGTAATCCTGTCCCATAAGATCACTCTCCTTTCAATAAACAGCTTTAGATAAAAAAAAGAAAGGATCTAAATTTAATGCATCCTCCAGAAAGCAAATTGCTTGGGTCCCTGTATTTCACACGTTCACAGCCTTCTTTTTGGGGAGGAAAAACATAGACCTGAAGTTGCTTCCAGTTCAGTGCTAGATGTCAGCATTTTAAATGACTGGTTCCTTTGCGCTGTAGGAAAGTTTCCAGTATGTCATTCCTTCTGCATGGCAGTAGTGTCAGTGTGGCAGTCAAGCATACAGCTGCATGCTTCTGCCTACTTCCTATTACCACTGGTTATATGGAAGAGACAGAAAGAGCACAGAGATAAAATAATTAAATCCTTTACTTGACTAACTGAAGTATTGTGGTAAAATGTACGAAGTCTGGAGTGAGAGCTAGGAACTTTAAGCAACACTCCATGCAGAATATAGAAACTTAGTCCCAGAGATAGGGTACCAATTAACTTTGCTCATTAATGCCTCAGGAATCCATACTTGACATACCTTTGCCTTTCTCTTGCAAATAAGTTCTCCTCTTTATTTTAAGAGGCAAAGTCTCAAAACGGGAAATACTGGTCTGAGGCAGACTGCAAGTCAGCTGGACCTGGACCTCCCAAGGATTACAGGGCATATATATGAGAATGGACCTTGCTAAGTGATGTTCAGCAAGTACAAGGAGGATTTGTTAGCTAGGATATCGACCAGCTATCCTAGCTCTTGCGTACTCTCTCCTGTCCAGGTCCCTCATGCACAGTTGGAACTAGAAATATACTCTCTCACCTCTACATATTATAGACTCAGAAAGTGAACCTCTGTGGAAATAAGTTGATTTTTTCCTGCTTTATGAAAACAAACTGATGCTGAAATGCATTTTTTATAGCTACAACAAGGAAGAGTAGAACATTCTGCTTTTCCCAGCATGCCCAAGGCAAAGAACTGCTTTTCTGATGTGTACAAATCACTCCCTTTTCCCTGCTTAAGTCAGTTCATTTAATGCTTACTATACTAAGCGACTTGAGAATAGGATCAGCAATATATATACACACGTGCATATGTATGCATGTATTTTATTTTTCCTCTCAACCAGTCAATATTCAGGTATCTCTGTACCTTCTTGCAGACTATTAGAGCCCAACAACATTTGGTCTCAAATAAAACCAAACAACAGCTCTCTCTTATTTGTTCAACATCATCTTGGCCACAGTATGTTTTGCTATTTTGGGTGTATCACGATATTCTTGTTTAGAAGTCTGACCACAGTCTTTTTGTCCCTACTCTTTGTTGTGTTTACCCCTTACTATTTGTGCAACAGAGTGATGAAAAACAAGTTACACTAAATCCATGGTTACTTAGTTTCGATCAACAGCCATGTAAAGACACAAACACTTACTCTTTCACACCAAAAGCATTGTGCCAGAGAGATTGTTTCTGATCTACCTTTTGGGGAGGCTGAAGAGGTTACCGTTCCAACACAGCAGTACAAGAGCAAGTACTCTTCTAAACATGGTCTTTAATCCTCTAGGAGAGAAAGGTTTCATCTATCTATCACACTGCTCTCACTTAGGGGAAAAAATTGCATATCTTACTCAGTTTTCTAAAAACCAGTAAAGAAAGGAGGGTTAGAATTTACATGAGAAAGTCTCAGAAAAATGGTAGTATGAAATTGTAGCAAAGGACACTGTTTCAACATAGTATCACTCAGAAAGATAAGGCAGAAAACAAAGATTTGAAAAAAATATATATTTTTAAAAGTATTTTCTTATTTTACAAAAAGCAATGTTTAAAAATCAAAATCGTGGAAGACACTCTGGAAAAACTGGCTTCTAATGCATAAGACTTTTGTGTTGACATCTCCCAAACAATGTCACAACTCCTGAAAATCCTGCATTCCATAAGCAAAGGTATGATCCAGCTCAAGTAATCCTTTTTAGTGACACTTTAAACCCCATAATCCAGCAGTTGATCTGACCAGTCTCTAAGGAATGTGTTGAGGCCCTCTGTGGCTACAGAGCAAACGGATTGGCATGAATTGTAATATCTTTAATGCGAACATCATTAAGAGGTCGGTAGGTTTTCTCATTCACAGGCAGCTTCTCCAGCTCATCCAGGGTCTCCAAGCCATCAATAACTCTGGAAGAAAAGCGGAATTGCTAGGAATCTCCTTCCAATAACAATTTAAATTTCACAACTGAGATATCTCAAAGCACTTTACAGTTAAGTATCATAAGGCAAGGACTTTGCAAGCAAATGATACATATAAGCCAAAACATTACATATGGCATACAATGTATTTTGAAAGGAAATATTAAGCATCTATGACAGATTCTAATAAAAAGTACAAATAATTCCCACTGACTTGACAGTATCATATTTTATACTAACCATAGCTGTATAAAGACCCTGGCTGCACTTCCTGGCAGACAGCACTGACCAATCATAGTATAGGCTTCAGTAGCAAGATATCGGCCATACCAAACTTCGCTGTGAATTACTGAAATCCTATGACTGGAAAAATCAATTTCCAAACATGAGATTATAACTTCTAACCTTCTGACTCAAAGACAACGCTGGACAGAATCATTAATAACTGTGTAAATCTAATGGCACAAATAAATATGTTTATGTTTTCAGATTTCCTGTTCGGGCTGCAGAAATGGCAAGAGAGACTGTTCTAATAAACTTCTTGCTTTTTTGTTTAAATAACTAGCTCCGGTAAATCTTGGCAGTTTATTCCCACTTGGAAGAAAACACGTTGTGCTGTTGACAGCTCAATTCAGTCACATTCACAACTCTTTGAACCTACAACGCTGGATTGTGGGCCAGCAGGGACTGCATATGCTGTTCTGCTGATTCTGCAACTGGGGCAGGAGTATCTTAAAACAGACAATCTGGCAAAGTTCATCTGTCTCTACTCTTTTCTAAGAAAGATGTTTAAAAAAATTACTTTCAATCACACCTCTAACAAACTCAGAAATGAAAGGAACACCTATACTTAGATGCCTATAAACAACACAAGCGGTAGAAGATAGTATTTTCACATTTCAATAGTTTCCTTTGAATATTTAACTCCATTTAATAAAGACAACTTTTTCTCTGCAGATTCAGCTGTACACTAGAAACTTTTTAACAACAACCAAAAAAAAAAAAAAAAGACACTGCCATGACTTTGAGATTAAAAAAAGCAGTATCTGAAAGATTCAAAAATTAAACATTTACTTGAAGGATGATAAATCATCAGTAGTGCCTATTAAACTAAGCATGTTTTTAAATAATGATGCATCTTAAACAACCTCATCTGATTTTATAAACTGTCAGTTCCATGAGTTTTAGCTGACTAACAGGAAGTTCCACCTGAACAGAAGAATGACCATGTCAGTACCACACCCATCCCCAGATCCAGTCCCAAATCAGATTCTGGCTTCTCAGTAAAGCCTACAACGGTGTAACCAGTTGTTCTGGAGTTTGCTTAAAATCAGCCTGCATCCGTTTGGGTACGAATGAAGAGGCAAGCTGGAATAACTGGCTGGGGGGGTAGGAGGAAAAGAAGTTCTATTCTTGAGGTAATTTTTAACATGCCTATTTCCACTGAATTCCCCGCTACTAAGAAAAAGGCAGCAGCATTTTGGAGCAACTAATTCTGGTGACAGTGCAACAGCATATAGTTACATATACACATCCAATGTTTTAAAGAGTTTTAGAACCAGATGCTTCTAAATTTGCATTGCATGTGCCCTGAAATATTCAGATCCTTCACACACTATGATAAGGAGGCACGCAGTTGGATCACTTACTTTCCAAACACAGTGTACTTCATGTCTAGGTGCGGTTGCTTGCCATACGTGATGAAGAACTGCGATCCATTGGTATTCGGACCATTGTTTGCCATTGAAACTACACCACGGACACTGTGCTGAAAGAGGGGGAAAAACCTCGACATGAATACACACCTGTGAAAGCAGGACTTTAACCTGTATGAAGTGCTCTGTGACTTAGTACTCTGCCTCAATACCATTATTAAGAACAAAACTTGGTTGCTAATATATTCCATCACAGTCTGTAATTAGCTCCTCAAAATTGCTCTTACGATGAAAAATTACTACTTTGCCTTCAGTGCATGAAAAATACTTTCTTACAATTTTTTTTCCACTTTTTTCTTCCATTCTTTCTCAGTGATGAAAACTCTCAAACTTAACTTGCCAAGTACAGAAATGCCTGTTTCTATTTTAATAATAAGATCTGTATCCCTTTATTGTGAGATTATACTTCGCTTCACAATTACAAAAGAGATCTTTAATACAGTACAACACAACGCTGATCGTTCAACCTGTAAAGAAAATTCATTTGAAAATGTAACTACATATTGAGAGCACAGAAATACCTTTAGGTATTCACTGAATTCATCTTCAAACTTCTTGCCCCAGATGCTGTTACCTCCTTTCCCAGTGCCTGACAAAGAAGCACCACAATAGATTACATAAGGAACACCTATTAAGTAGCAGAACAAAACACTGACGTATCCTCAAATTAAATTCAGTATGAGTACAAACAGACACACAGCTGAATCAGATTTTCTCCCAAACATCTGACACTGTTGGGGACGTTTTCCCTGAATGCTTTAGAAGCAGTGTAGCATTTCAGGCAGAAACCAGAGAAACCACAGTAGCATCTGCTACCTGTTCAATGGCTGGTAACTCAGCAGAACCATCGTATTTAGCGGAAACAGCTGGAAAAAGTAAAGTTTGTAAAATGCTTTAGTCGTGCATGATCATTTAGAACTACAGTAACACCTGCTCTTTTGTAAGCTCACCACAGAAAACTAATCACATCATAAAAACCTCCATCGACAATACAATAATTCTTATATTTTATATTTACTTTATTTATGTTTTGGTTTTAATATTCATACTTATAATTTATTTTTATTTCTTTCTAGTTTATTTATATTTTATATTTATGTACATTTTTCTATAGAGAGACCCGGAAAGAAGAATTTACCTAATGGATCCCCTGTCTGAACCATGAAACCCTTTATATTCCGGTGAAATACGCATCCATTGTAGTAGTTACTAGCACAAAGAGCCAGGAAATTCTAAGGAAATGAAACAAGCCATATTAACAAGCAATTCAGAAATAGTATCCTCTTACTAAAATGACTGCATTGGCAAGACCAAGACTAACTCTTTTGCCTCTGCTTTGCATTATGACCATGTGAATTCCACAGAGTAGTGCCACAGAATACTCATAAATAAATTATAGTTAATACGCTTCTTTGACACTGTCACAGATACAAAAGATTTTAAATAAAGCTTACAGCACACAGTTTTCTGACATGCGAAATAAAAAAGAAGCCTGAGACAAGCTCAGAAGTATCACTTCCATTCAACATTCTTATTTTGTAAATGTAATATTGTAATCAATAACTTCATGCCTCAGCATTACTTCAATTCATGCTCAAGTTTATTGCAGAAAGGAAAAACCAGGGCCTCTGACAAACTAGGACTGATTCTCACTCTCTTATGCTAAAATCAAATCTGTGCGAGTGTCAGCAAACTCGGGGAAATTTGGGAATCCCGGGCCACGTGCCATATTTCCCCTTAAGGGCAAGGGACACTTTGGGAGATGCTGAAACTTAGAGAAAAGCAGCCCTGAGATAAAGCTTATCTGATGAGAAAAAGGCAGCAAAGCTCTAGGCAGTATGACACAGTGAACAAGTTCCATGAGTAGAATAGGCACTGTACCAGCTTAAAAAGTTAGTAATCCATTATGTGAAAAGATGAATTGCAAAAGCCACTTCACCTCCTCTACAGCCATCACTATTTCTACTGCTTTGTTTCAACACTAGGCAATCCTGCTCCTGTTACTTGACTTACTTCACAAGTCTTTGGTGTACGCTCGCAGAATAGTTCAATTTTAATATCTCCAACATCAGTATGCAGCGTGACAGCCTGAACAAGAGGTGGAAAATATTAATTAAATCAGCAATGAAATACTAACGGACTCAGTTTTATTTCCCAGTCGCACCAAGAACATAAGCAAGTTCCCACTGCATATAGCCATTGTTTCAATATTTGGCAATAGGCAAGGCTACTGTAACAAACCTTCCACCTTTCCAGTGAAATCACCAGAAAGCACTTGGTTTCATTGAGTTTCAGAACTAATCAAGTTTGCCATGGTAATGCAGAAGCTCTGTTTCACACTGCCATACTCCAGAGTTAGATTATTCATTTGCAAACTGGACCTACTCAGTCACTTAACTGCAAAGCTGAAGAATCAAGGTGATATCTATTTCAGATGACAGTGTGGTGCACATACCTCACTGGTTTACAACCAGAGAAACAACTGATGTATGTTACTTGCCTGCAGCCTTCTGAGTGATAAGGCTTCTGCGTGGCACCGTATATAATCTACCTTCACAAACAAGCAAATCTACAAAATTACACACTTAAGAATTTATAAATAACCTTCATAAAATTTAAAATGGCAGTTACCCAGCCACCTAAGCAAATATATCTCTATAGGCCACATATATCACAGTGCTTTCATGGAAAGTGCTAAACTATGCAAAAGCAATTACTATGTGCCTATACTGCGGATAAGTATACAGGAAAACTAATAAAAATGTGAATCACGTTGATACTGGCATACTGTTTCAGAAGTATACAAGTAAGATATTTGCCTGCAATGTCTATGAAGATGCTGTAAAAGGTGTATGTACAGTTTAAGACACAACCTTATCTCTATTTCCTGATTTGCTAAACTTTTAAAAGCCTGCAAGTGTAGCAGGTTACATACACTCAAGCAAGGCTGTGTGCTTGCAACTTGAAAAATGTTTCTGTGGTAAAAAAAAAAAACCCAAACAACCAAACTACATCACCAAATAGTAACCAAAGTAGGATTAAAATTTAGTATCTTAGACATGAAAGTCTAATTATATTTTAGACTGATGTAAATGGACCTATTTATTTAGAAGTCCGAAATGAAAACCTAAACTTTTCATTATAAATTCATCACAGCATCAGAGTAAAACGTGTAATCCTTTGAGATGCAGAGCAGCTATTCACTTTCCAAGAGATGACCATTTCAGAAAGAAAGAAAATGTATAAAAAGGTGCTATTGTTCTCACCATGTCTGCTTATCAAAAAGCTGAGGTACATTTGTATACACCAATTTCCTGCAAAGAAAACATATGAAACTTGTTCAGTTTTTCCCACCAATCCTCAATTCGATTCTAAAATATTTGTGTGGTTATATGCTTTTACACCACACAGCTTTACAGTGCCATTCAAGAGACTGTGTTTTACTTGCATTATGCAACTACTCAGCACATAAAGAACTAGAAAGGAGTGCAACAAAATAGCTTAGAGAAAAGGGGTGGCGGCAAAAAAACACCTTTTCCTAAGATGAAAGTTTATACTAAGCCATCACAACTTTTCCAGAGATCATGGCTTTATAAATGACAGAAATTAAGAGACAAAAACCACGTGCAAGTACCTAAACACAAGTGTGATTTGGAGCCACCTTCTGACAGCTGTCAGCGCCCGCCAACAGACAGGTACCCGCATCCAAGCACCGGATCTTAGTGATATGTTCAAATAAAGCGTTTGGAATGACGATAATAAAACGGGAGTTGTGTGGAAACCAACACTTTTACAGGCTAATCTCCTCTCCGTACATACTGCCCTCCCTGGTTAGCCCCCCAGCCGTGGCAAGGCCTCTCACA